GCCAAATCTTATTTGTCGCCCGCCATTTTGAAACATTTGAACGCGGGAAATGAGTGCGCATGCTCAGCGGTTTTTGAGACCTGTCCCGTACATCTATTGGACATCCATCTTATATCCAATTGACACCTGTCAAAATAAGGTATCCGCTGACCAGTATCACGAGACCATATTGCGCGCTCAAGTTTAGAACTCATTGCGGTTAAGTGATATTTTAAAGTTGACCTCTGACCAAGTACTTTTTTTCTGTTTGATCGCGGGCTCAAATCGTGCTAACGTACTGCAATCAGGGCTGGGTTGTTCGGAAGCCGGTTATTAAGCATAAATTTTTCTTGTATAAGTATGTTTTCACTACTGATGTTTTGTGTAGTTTGAGATTATTCAAACTTGGAAGACCAAACAATATAAACAGAAAACCTCACCGCAAAGTTAAAAAAACTCAAATCAAAATTTTCGCTCATCCTGACTTAGCTTAATGAGGCTCTAACCAACCGGCCTAGGAGCTCCGCTTTTAGGCTTTGCTAAATCTATATGTTATGAATTTAATCCAGTTATGGCTGAAAGAAAACAAATTAACTTTAAATGTCAAAAGAACGAAGTACATGCTCAAAGGGATTAAATTTAAGTTATCCTAAATACACAACAATTTCACAGTCAAAGTCCATACACTACTAGATAGGTTAAGCAAACATAAATCTTTTGGAGTTTACGTTCACAGATCTCTCAACTGGCGTCCAGACATAAATGCTACGTCAAATGAAATTTCCGCTGGTCTTACAATCTTAAAGCGTGTAAACACTACTATACCGTTTGACACTAGAATGGACATGTACAATGCACTTCTAATGCCTTATTTCAATTACTGTAGTACTGTATGAGGCAATATCGGCAAAAATTAAAGACAAAATTAAAAAACTACAAGATAGGCCTGCTGCTAGAATTCTCACCTTGTCAAATTAAGTAACTCGTTCAAGTGTTTTGTGGGATGAACTTGGCTGAGAAAGGTTGCTAAACATAAGATTTAAACAACTAGTTATGATTATGCATAAAATCCACAATAATCTTTCCCATCGTACCAGAGGCGGATTTCACGTCTACACGCACACAATTTTAGACACTCTGAGATAAATTGCTATGATCCCGGACCAAGAACTGAATATGCAAAGGGAGCCTACACTTCAGAGGACCTGTTCAGTGGAACGAGATTCCCTCGAAAATCAGACACCTGCCTGGTTTAAAAATGTTTAAAACCTCATTGAATGGGAGAGGTTTTTTCAGTGCACTGTAAATTAAAGAAAGTTTTATTATAAAGGTTGTTATTCTACGCCATCTTTCTTAGTTATGTAGTTCGTTAGTTAATGCAATTAATGCCCTCCTGTGAATAGATGTGTAATTTTTCACACAACTCCTAGGAAGACCATTTTTATGATAAGATATGGTGTATAAATAAAGATTGATTGATCGATCGATTGATCGATAGGATGAATTATGATATATTTTTGATTGCTGAATTTCTAGAAAAGACAGAACGAAGACTGGCCACGCGCTTGGACATCCTGGTTCGAGACCTACTTGCGCTGAGCCACAGAGAAATATGCCACCGATAGTGTGCGGTCTCCTGCGAATTATCATGCACTCGGCCATGGTCATGGGAGCATGCAGAGATGCTCCGGTAAGTAGTTTGACATCAGGGGACATTTTTGTATCTGATGGTAACATGGAGTTTGACCAGGGAAGGGAATGAGATTGGTCAGTCATTGAGGTGGGTTGATATGTGTGGTTAAAGGAGTGTGTCAGAAACTACTAGGTGAGTCACCGTACCACCAAATACGCCAGAAGAGGGCGTAAAAAAATATGCATGTTTGCATATGTGGGATCTCACAAGAAATACTTCATCTTCGAGGAACAGCTAATTGTTGCGAGCCTTAGCGAAAACCAATTTCAGTAGTTTTGACTGTGGCCGTGTGGGGCCTGGGCGCTTTATATATACGACTCAACACTTGATTTTTATCCAAATTTTTTTCGTTAAAGATGATTCTGTGTAGATGCAGTACGTAGTATCAGCGGCAGTAGTTGTCGAATTGTGCGTAAGTTGTGCGTCTTCTGCGCGTCAGGGCTCCGTGCCAGGCACGACGTGCTCGAGACGTGCTAAGCACTGGCAAAGGTCGATCAAAGTTTGCAGATCAGGTAAGATTAATACTCTCTTTAAAAGAGTTAGCTGGACAAACGCAATTTTAGCAATCGAAGCTGGAAGTAGTGTTCAATTGTGCGTAAGTTGTGCGTCTTCTGCGCGTAAGGGCTCCGTGCCAGGCCGACGTGCTCGAGACGTGCTAAGCAGTGGCAAAGGTCGATCAAAGTTTGCAGATCACGTAAGATTAATACTCTCTTCAAAAGAGTTAGCTAGTCAAACGCCATTTTAGCAATCGCAGCTGGAAGTAGTCATCAATGCGACGAATGATTTAGATTATATTTCTTCCACTTAGTACAGAATTATTAAAAAAGCCAGACTCAATATATCCTCCTACACAGGCGCTCTTTGGGCTCGTCTGCGTCAGAGGCTAGACTCAATAAGGTAGTAGAGGCGACATGCAGTGCATTTAATCATTTGTAGATAAACCTAAAATTAGTCTAAAGAGAAACTTGTCTCAGAGTACTATCCACTGCCAAAAATTGTTATTTTGCACTGACATAAGAATATATTTTATTTTTGGTTAAGTTTTGTTTCCAAGACTCTATGTGTAATAATATTGTTATAGGATAAAAGTTGTCTATTATATTCTCTTGTTCATCAAAAATGTAACCCTCCGTTATTTATGTTCAGACACATCAACCATTTCTGGTGATTAACCTTGTTTTTTTCTTAACACAAATATTATAACAACAATGAATACAGGTTAGCTCAGCACACTTTCCCCTTAATATATAGATATATATTCTTATATTGAAGATTGTGAATTCGTTGCATGTGTTTATACAACTAATAACTTCTCGCCCACTGTGAGAAAAATGCCCCTCTTCCTAAATTCCAGTCCGGCTTCCGTAAGTATCACTCGACAGAGACTGCTCCATTGAAGGTTCAAAACGACATCTTAATGAGTATGGATAATAAGCAAGTGACACTTCTCGTACTTCTGGACCTAAGTGCTGCTTTTGATACCATTGAAC